TTTTTTTGTCTTTGAGACAGGGTCTTGCTACGTAGCTCAGGCTGGCCTCGACCTTGCGGCAATCCTCCTGTCTCAGCCTCCTAAGTACTGGGATTACAGGCATACACCATCATGTCCAGCAAAATAGCTTATTTTTCTAAATTCATTATTAGTCCCTACTGCAAAAAAAATTCTATGAGACCAAATTTTGCTCAAGAGAATAGCATTACAAGACATACATCTTTGTATTAAAGTACTGGCTATATAAGATAGTCAATATCCTGTCATTAACACTATAAATGACTCATTCCTGTGTTTGAACTGTGAACATACCACATTTTAAAAAATTCTTTGATCCATTCATGAAGTGTGGACCCTTTCCTTTTGGTACTTTAGTAAATAGTGCTGGGTGAACGTGACTTTTGGTGAACACAAGAACGAAATTCTTGCTATCTCACAGTGCAGGATTGGCATAGGCTCAGCTTTAGTAGATCCTGCCAAACAATTTCTGAGTGATTGTACCAGTCTACTCTAGTACCAGCTGTGTCTGAGCGTTCCAGCTGCTCTATAACCTTATCGGTATTTGATATGTTTGTGCTTCTTGATTGCCATTCTGGTTGGCATGTAGCTGGATTCCATTGTGTACCTCATTTGCTTTTCTCTGATGACTAATGAAGATGAATAACTCGTCATATATTTATAGGCCACCTAGATATCCTCTTGTAAAAATCTCACTGTGTAGCTCCGGCTAGCCTAGAAATCATGGTGATCCTCCTGCCTCAGCCACCGAGTGCTGGCATTACAGATATGTGCTGCCATGCCCGGCTTCTCTGACACCAGTTTTAGTGATTGTTTCACTGTCTGGAAGTTGCTGTCATTCAATCAACTAACCCCTAACTCCTAGGCTTTTAGCTTGCTTTCAATCCTGACAGTTTTTCTAAGATCTATCTTCCTACTCTTAAAACAATAATATTTACCTGTGAGCCTTATAGTCCCCTCTTTTCCTCTAAGTAAGGTGTAGATTTTTTATTTTTATTTTTTTAGTAAAGCTGGGCTGTGGAATATAAGAAGATGAGGGCCGTTGTCTGGGTCTGCAAAGTGCTAGATGCCAAACAAGGAAGGATCTTTTTGGGGGACGGGGTTTGAGAGTGACCTGGAACTCACTATGTATCCCAGGCTAGTCTTGAACTCACAGCAATACTCCTGCCTCAGCCTCCCAAGTGCTGGGATTACAGGCATGTACCGCCATGCCTAGCAAAGGAAGGATCTTTTGTTTATTTGTTTGCTTTTTATCTTTAGATATTTACTTATCAGCTTTACCTGACCATTTTTTTTTTTTTTTTGAGACAGGGTCTCACTATGTAGTTGAGACTGCCCTGGAACTCACTATGTAGCCCAGGTTGGTCTCAAACTCACAGCGATCCTCCTGCTTCAGCCTCCCGAGTGCTGGGATTACAGGCATGCGCCGCCACGCCCGGCTGACTTTTTTTTATTGGTACATTGTTGATATACATAGTAATAGCATTCATCATAGAGAATGTTTACCTGTACATGATATATTGTGCTGCTTTTTCCCCATCCCCCATCCCCTCCTTTCAGTCCACCTTCCCCTCTTGTTTTCTTTTTAATTTTTATTTATTTATTTTTTTGCTACCAGGGATTGAAATCAAGACCTTGTGCTTGCGAGGCAGGCGTGGTGCCACTGAGCTAAATTCCCAGCCCTTGTTTTCTTTTTTAAGAAGAAAACATAAGTATGAGTTTTTATTACTTTTGATTAGTCGGTGGTTACTTAGAAATGCCACCCAAGAACCAAAGAACAAATTTACAGATTGGATCTTAGTAAAAACATTTGTGTTTGACTGTCAAGAAAATAAAATAATAAACCACAGAATGGGAGGAAATATTTACAAGTCATATATCTTGATAAGAGACTACTATTCAAAATATATAAAGGATACTTTCAATTATACAATAAAAACAATCCAATTAAAATATGGGCAATGGATTTTGATAGATATTTTCCTGGATAAGTTGTACCAATGACCAGTGAACACTTGAAAAAATGCTCAACAACATTAGCCATTACAAAACACAAATAAAATACAAAGAAATATAAAACATACTGATATACAACTTCATACCCACTAGAATTACTAAAATAAAAATGATAGTGTAGGTAATGTTGATAATATAGAGTGGAATCACCATGCAATCCTTTGGGGAAAAGGAAATGATACAGCCACCCTGGAAAACAGTTTAGCAGTTTTTCAAGAGGTAAAAAATATGGGGGTTTAGCTCAGTGGTGCCGCTGCCTGCCTCACAAGTACAAGGTCCTCAGTTCAATCCCCAGTACAAAAAAAAAAAAAAGAAAAAGAAAGGTTACCATATGACCCAGTCATTCCACTCCTAGATATTCACCTGCTCTGGTTTGGATATTGAATATCCCAGTGAGGTCCACGTGTTAAAATCTTCATTCCCTGGGTGGTGCTGAGAGTGTGTAGAATTTTTAGGAAGTGGGGCCTTGTGGGAGGTCCTTAGGTCGTTGGAGACATGCTCTATAAGGCAGGGTTCCCTGACCCCCAGGCCATGGACCAGTACTGGAACTGGGCCACACAGCAGGACCTGAGCAATGAACAAACAAGTGAATCTTCATGTTTTTTTTTTTTTTTTTTTTAGTACCGGGGATCCAACTTGGTTCCTTACGCTTACAAGGCAGGCGGCGGAACCACTGAGCTAAATCCCCTGGTCCCCTTCATCAGTATTTATGGCTACTGGTCATCACTGCCTTCCCCTCAGATGTGCAGTGGCTTTAGATTCTCATAGGTGTGCAGACCCTCCTGTGAACTGCCATTGCAAGGGACCAACTAGGTTGCATGCTTGATAATCCGAGGTGGAGTCAAGGCAGTGATAATAGTGCTGGATATTGGCTGAAAATACCTGTTAACATTAGCAGAGAGATTTGATTGCATAGAGACCATATTAAATCAATAGTATGCAGGCTGATCTCACAACCCTATCGGGGAGTGGCAAGT